CAACATGGCGAAGCCTTGTCTCTACAGAAAATGCAGAAATTAGCCAGGCACTGTGGCACATGCTTGTAGTCCCAGTTACTTGGAAGGTTGAGGCAGGATTATCATTTGAGCTGGGGTGTATTAGTCCATTTTCATGCTGCTAATAAAGACATACCCAAGACTGGGAAGAAAAAGAGGTTTAATTGGACTTACAGTTCCACATGGCTAGGGAGGCCTCAGAATTCCACCTGGCTGGGGAGGCCTCAGAATCATGGCAGAGGCAAAGGCACTTTTTCTTTTTTTTTATGTTATACTTTAAGTTCTGGGATACATGTGCAGAACATGCAGGCTTGTTACATAGGTATACATGTGCCATGGTGGTTTGCTGCACCCATCAACCCATCATATACATTAGGTATTTCTCCTAATGCTATCCCTCCCCTAGCTCCCCACCCCCCAATAGGCCCTGGTGTGTGATGCTCCCCTCCCTGTGTCCACGTGTTCTCATTGTTCAACTCCCACTTATGAGTGACAACGCTCAGTGTTTGGTTTTCTGTTCTTGTGTTAGTTTGCTGAGAATGATGGTTTCCAGCTTCATCCATGTCCCTGCAGAGGACATGAACTCATCAAAAGGCACTTCTTACATGGCAGCGGCAAGAGAAAATGAGGACGATGCAAAAATGGAAACCTCTAATAAAACTATCAGATCTCATGAGAGTTATTCACTACCATAAGAACAATATGGGGGAAACAGCTCCTATGATTCAAATTATCTCCCACTGGGTCCCTCCCACAACATGTGGGAGTTATGGGAGTACAATTCAAGATGAGATTTGGGTGGGGACACAGCCAAACCATATCATTCTTTCTCTGGCCCCTTCAAATCTCATGTCCTCACATTTCAAAACCAATCACGCCTTCCTAACAGTCCCCCAAAGTCTTAACTCATTTCAGCATTAACCCAAAAGTTCATACCAAGACAAGACAAGGCAAGTCCCTTCTGCCTATGAGCCAGTAAAATCATAAACAAGCTATTTACTTCCTAGATAGGATTTGGGTACAGGTATTGGGTAAATATAGCCATTCCAAATGAGAGAAATTGGTCAAAACAAAGGAGTTACAGGGCCCATGCAAGTCTAATATCCAGCGAGGCAGTCAAATCTTATAGCTTCAAAATGATCTCCTTTGACTCTGGGTCTCATATCCAGGTCATGCTGATGCAAGACATGGGTTCCCACAGTCTTGGGAAGCTTTGCCCCTGTGGCTTTGCAGGGTACAGCCTCCCTCCGGCTGCTTTCACAGGCTGGCATTGAGTGTCTGTGGCTTTTCCAGGTGAATTGTGCAAGCTGTTGGTGGATCTAACATTCTGGGGTCTGGAGAACAGTGGCCCTCTTCTCACAGCTCCACTAGGTGGCACCCCAGTAGGGACTCTGCATGGGGGCTCCAACCCCACATTTCCCTTCTTCACTGCCCTTGCACAGGTTCTCCATGATGGCCCCACTCCTGCAACAAACTTCTGCCTGGGCATCCAGGCGTTTCCATACATCCTCTGAAATCTAGGTGGAGGTTCCTAAACCCCAATTCTTGATTCTGTGTACTTACAGGCTCAACACCATGTGGAAGCTGCCAAAGCTTGGGGACTGCACCCCCCGAAGCCACAGCCTGATCTCTATGTTGGCCCCTTTCAGCCATGGCTGGAGCAGCTGGGACACAGGGCACCAAGTCCCTAGGCTGCACACAGCATGGGGACCCTGGGCCCAGCTCATGAAACCATTTTCTCCTAGGCCTCAGGGCCTGTGATAGGAGAGGCTGCTGTGAATACCCCTCACACGGCCTGGAGACATTTTCTCCACAGTTTGGGGATTAACGTTAGGCTCCCCATTACTTATGCAAATTTCTGCAGCCAGCTTGAATTTCTCCTCAGAAAATGGGTTTTCCATTTCTATCACATTGTCAGGCTACAAATTTTCCAAACTTTTATGCTATTCTTCCCTTATAATACTGAATGCCTATAACAGCACCCAAGTCACATCTTGAAAGATTTGTTGCTTAGAAATTTTTTCTGCCAGATACCCTAAATCATCTTTCTCAAGTTCAAAGTTCCACAGATTTCTAGGGCAGGGGCCAAATGCCCCCAGTCTCTTTGCTAAAACATAACAAGAGTCACCTTTGCTCCTGTTGCCAATAAGTTCTTCATCTCCACCTGAGACCACTTCAGCCTGGACCTTATTATCTATGTGGCTATCAGGCTTTTGGCCAAAGCCATTCAACAAGTCCCTAGGAAGTTCCAAACTTTCCCACATTTTCCTGTCTTCTGAGCCCTCTAAACTGTTCCAACCTCTCCCAGTTACCCAGTTCCAAAGTTGCTTCCACATTTTCGGATATCTTTTCAGCAAAACCTACTCTACTGGTACCAATTTACTGTATTAGCCCATTTTCATGCTGCTGATAAAGACATACCCAAGACTGGAAAGAGAAAAAGGTTTAATTGGACTTACAGTTCCACAGGGCTGGGGAGGCCTCAGAATCATGCCAGGAGGCAAAAGGCACTTCCTACATGATGGCAGAAAGAGAAAATGAGGAAAATGCAAAAGTGGAAACCCCTGATAAAACCATCAGATCTCATGAGACTTATTCACTACCACGAGAACAGTATGGGGGAAACCACCCCCAACACTCAAATTATCTCCCACTGGCTCCCTCCCACAACATGTGGGAATTATGGGAGTACAATTCAAGATGAGATTTGGGTGGGGACACAGCAAAACCATATCATTGGGTAAGCAGAGGTTGCTTTGGGCCGAGATTGCGCTAGTGCATTCCAGAGCCTGGGTGACAGGGGTAAAACCCTGTCAAAAACAAAACAAAACAAAAAAACCAAAAAACCCCAAAACAAAACAAAGTCCTGGACAAAGTTTATAAAAAGACCATAAAGAGAGAAGATTTTTGTAGCATCTTAGAATTAATTAACTAACCAGAATACACAAAACTCCTAAAAAGAGACAAAAATCCTGATAGAATATGGGTAAAGCATTATGAGCAGATGATTTATAGTAAAGATAGAAAATCTTGTAGCACATACAGACATGCTCAGATTCATCAGTAATCTGAAAAATTCAATAGTGAGATGACAGTTTATGTCGCTTATGTTGGGGAAAACAAGAACGCTTGATAATGCCAAGCCTGGGAAGAATGTGGGGCCTTCAAACATTGGGAGCGTAGACTGGTATGGTGTTCTGGACAGCAACTTGGAATTATTTGGTCAAACTGAGAATACTCATACTCCATGACAACAATTTATCTTCTGTTAATCACAGACTATATGTAAAATTAAAATGCAAACACAAAGTGGAAAGGATATTTGCAACATACAGAGTAGACATATAATTATTATCCAGAGTATATAAAGAACTGAGAGAGAGACCAATAGAAAAGGGGGCAAGATAACTACTTGGCAGTTCAGTAAGAGAAAACGGAAAGCCTAACAAAACCAAAGGTACTCAACCTCAACAGTACCCAGAGATGCAAGATAAAACCACACTGAAATACCTAAAATACACACATCCAAATATACAAAAGTTAAAAATCCAAACACAAATGTTGCCGATGATGTGGAAAAATAAGAACTCTTATACATCCCCACCAGAAACATAAATAGGTACACTACTTTGGAAAATGGTGTGGTCTTACTTTTTAAAGTCCCACATGTGCAAAACCCTAATACCCAGTCAACCCACTTCTACTCTAGTACATGTGCATTAATAGACACAGACTTGTACTACGATGTTCATAACATTGTTAATAATAGCTAAAAATGAAAACAGTGTAAATGATCATCAATAGTAGGAAGGATAAATCAATTAATCTATATTGGAATACTGTCCAGTAATGGAAAAAACTTGAGCTACACAGCATCACCAGTGGCTGAATTCCACAGCATAATATTAAGTGGGAGAAGCAAATCACAGAAAAATACATACAGTATTAATTCCATTCCTATACTATCAATACCAGAAAACATTAAACAACATCTTGTTTAGAAATGCATACATGAATGGCAAAAGGAAGAGAATTATTGCAACAAAAGTCAGGATAGTGGTTACTTCCAGGGCAAGAAAGGCAATGTAATCGTTGGGGGCATTTTTCAGGTGCTGGTAATGTTTTATTTCTTAACCTGGTGCTAGTTGTACAGGTACTGTTCACATTATTATTAAGATAAACGTGTTTTATACACTTCTGCATGTATAATGTATTTTGCAATACAAATGATTTTTAGCATGATTGGATTGGGCAATCTCTTAGGTTCTTTTTATCTTTGATGGTCTATTGCCAGGCCCTTCACAGCTGGACTTATTTTTGGCCCCTCATTGACGGTTCCACTTAAGCAATATGCATTAAGATGCATACACGGGTGATTTAGACAGGAAAACTTGAAGGGAAAAGGGAACGCGCTAACAAAGAGAATCACAGAATAGGAGACCAGGAGTATGGACGATCTGATTCAAGCCCCTCTCCTCAGGGAGGCAATTGAGGTTTAACTTGAGAGCGCCTGGGTTCCAGTCCTGGTTCCGAATTTGATTTGGTCGTTTCTTCTCTAATTCCCAGTATCCTCATGCTGGCTTTGTAAACTGTACCATGAAATTCAAATAGGAGGTCTAATAATTATTATTCTCTTACAGTTGGGAAAACTGAGGCCACAGTGGGTCGCCACTAGCCCAAGGTGCCATCACCACATTGGAACTCAGGGCTTCCCTCCGACGGCCTTACCGGAACTCCAACTCCCTGAACTGAGTACTGTCCCATCATACAAACAGCTGCTCCCTTTCCTCTGGCTTTGGGCGCAGTTTGACATCACAGAGGAACTGCCTTGCCTCACCCCGCCCCTTCAGAAGCCCCGCCCCCTGCCCGGCTCCGCCTCGCTCGGCGTTCGTCAAGCCCCGCCTCCAGAGCTCGCCCCCGCGCGGGTGGCCCCTGGAGCGCCCCGCGCGGCCTCTCTTCCGGCCCCGCCCCCCCAGCTGCCATGACAACGAGCCTGCGCCCCGCGCTCAGCTGCTTCTCCGGCGGGACCCAGGCTGGACCGCGGGCCCCGGCCTGGGGGCCACTGCTGCCACCGCCGCCGCCACCTCGTCTCCTCCCCGTCCCCGCCCAGCCCCAGGTCTCCCCGCCTCACTAAGGCCGGTGGCTGGGGTCACTCCCCGCCGCCCCTCCCCGCACGGATGCCGAAGGTGAAGGCGCTGCAGTGCGCCCTGGCGCTGGAGATCAGCTCAGTGAGTACCGGTAGCGCCTCCCACCCTCGCGCATTGGCTCAGGGACTCCCTCAGGTCACCTCCGAGAGCCCAGAATCACCCCCAAACCACCTTCACCCTCCGAATCATCCCTAGGGAGCTTCGACCCCACGCCCCCTTGGTCCTGCCACACCTCGCACTCATGAGCGCCCTTCCACTCCGGCCACGCAGAAGCCTGACTCCTGCTCCGCTACGCTGGCTTCAACCCGACTTCCAGCTTGCGCGCTTTCAGATCGTTCCCAAACCACTTCAGAGTTCCTTTCCTTGCTCCTAACTTTCCAGTGAGAGAGAGTGTATGTGCGCGGCGCGGGAGCTTTGTTTTCCTTCTTCTTCTGGGCTCCAGTTCTCTTAGAGAATTGTTGTCCCCGCCTTTCCCAAATATGGGGGTGGGGGTCGCATTTCCTCCCGAATCCCTGCAAGCACACCACTTCGGACCAGTTTCAAACCCCGCATTAATGAAGGGGCCTTTCTTTATTCTGTCTTCAAAGGGGAATCTTCACACCTAACAACTGAATTGTGTCACTGCGCTAAGTACCTTGCCTTCCCTCCCAGGGCCTTCCAGGAAAAACCCAACTCCTCAGAGATCACTTCAGGCCCCTCCCGTCCCCAGACCCTTCCGACTTTGTGCCAGCCATTGTAAGAAAGGCCCAGTCAACTTTATGAGGGAAGCTCTTCCTTCCCCAAACTTACAGCCCCACCCCTGCAGTCTCCAGACTTGCTCAAGAGGATGTTTTCCGCCCTCCTCCTGTGGAAGTCCAGCTGGGGCAGAGACCCCGCTCATCCAGTGAAGGGGCTGGACCTCTCCATGCTAGGAGAAAACTCTATCCCCCTTGTTGATCTCAGAATACTTCCAAGGGTTTTGAACTTCTTCCCCTGCATTCTTTAGAGAACCCTCTCATTCTCCTGTTCAGAGGAATACTCCAGCTTGTCTCTTCTGGAGGAAATCCCCACAAGACCCTTCCCACACCCCATTTTAGTCCTGCAGGCACAGACCTGTACGGAGTTTGGAACCAAAATTCACCATTCGGTCTCTTTTCACTCCTTACTCTCTAAGTTTTCTTATATATGTTGTCTTCTCTTTGATCTCCTAGCAAAACTTGGGGGTTGAGGGTGCTTAAATATTTACCATTACTCTCCTGGGTGCTGCAGCCAGGAGCCCTCTGCATTTCCTTCTTGTGCACCCTGCTGGCCAGGCTCCACTTAACCCGTGCTTGCAGCATCCCGCCTTTCCTGGCTGGCCTTCCTCACGTTAGAATGAGGTTGCTGCAGCACGGAACTTAAACCCCTCGGGAAGTCACAGGACTGTTTTAGGTCTTTTGTTAGGTCTTAAAGAAGGGAAGTGTGGGTGGGGCAGAGTGTGAGGCAGTAGTGGTGAAGTAGAAATTTTCTTGGGCTCTCCCTTTACCTTCAAGCCTGCAGAGATTTTTCTCGGAAACTCCTAGCTTTACTTGTTTTCCTCCCAAAGCTGCCATTTTTGACAACTTTTTGTAAAGTAAAATTAGTTTAGCAAGCGGAATGCACGAAGCTTTCTCGACCTCCTCTGAAGTTTAGTGAAACTCCTTCAGAGTTCAGCCCTAATAGGTTTTGTTACTGGCTTCTTCCTCCTCCTGCCAACTAATGGTGTTTAGCAGTCTGGTGAGTGCAGCTGCCTGACTGGCTGGCTGCAGCTTCCCTAACGTTGCCAATACAAACTTTCTAAGAGGAAGAGTACTCTGTTGTAACTGATTACTGCTTGAAGGAGTCGGAGGAATAGCTACTTTTCTCTTGAGTATTAGTTGTATTGCAGAAAGTGAATGACTCTGTAATTCACTGAATAATGGAGCTTTGTTACTTATCAGAGCTAAAGAAAACTATGCAGGTGGAAATAATATTTTTCCCCAACAAACATTTAAGTCACAGAATTTTATAGTTTCGAGAAATCTTAGATGGAAATCATTGAATTCAGTCCCTTTTTACAGCCAAGAAAATCGATGCTTAGCATGGCTATTATTTGTCTAGGATTGCACAACTATTTAGAAGCAGATCTGCAAAATGTTCCTGAATTTCTGAACAACAAAAGCCTTTTAAAATGGCTCTGATGCTCAGAAGGAGCAAACAACGCCCCCGCCCCCTCCAAAAAGAAAACCCCACTAGCAAACATACAAATTAAACATGTTTGATTGATTGATTAATTTGGCTTTGATTGAATAGAAAGGTTATATGACCCTAGATATTTTTAACATCTTCATTTTGATTTTAGTTTTTTCTTGTCTATTTCCTTTTACATTTACATGGTTCAAGTTCAAGACTGTATAAAATGATATACTCAGAGAAGTGTTGCTTTCAGGCTCAAAACTATTTCCCACCTATACTCACCTGCTTTAAGTAACCATTTCTACTGATTTTGATATAAACAGATACACAAACTCTCTGTCACATACCACACAACATATATATATATAGAGATATATATGTCTGTTTTTATGAAATAGGTAGCATATAAACCATTTTGCATCTCGCTTTTCTTCGTTCAGTATGTCCTGGAGATCACTCTGTATCTACTGAAACTGGCATCTTTCTCCCCAACTTTTTAAATGAGATTTTTCAAACATACAGAGTACTTAGAAGAATAGTTAAATGAATACTGACCTATAACCCATGACCATGTACATTAATTTGATTTATCTCTATGTGTGTGTATGTTTATGTATAAAATTTTTTTTTGCTAAAAATTGAAAGAAAATTGACATAATGATACTCCACCTGTGAGTACTGCAGCGTGTGTCTTCTAAAAATAAGGATATTAGCTGGGCATGATGACAGGTGCCTGTAGTTCCAGCTACTCAGGGGACTGAGGCAGGAGGATTGCTTCAGGCCAGGAGTTTGAGGCTGTAGTGTGCTGTGAGCACACCTGTGAATAGCCCTGCACTTCAGCCTGGGCGACACAGTGAGACCCTGTCTCTGAAATAAGTAAACAAATAAAATTAAAAAATAAGGAGATTGTTCTATATAACCTCAAAACCATTATTACACCTAAGATAATTGATGAGAAATTCTTAATACTTAGTTCATATTAAAGTGTTTCTGGTTGTCCCAAACATGGATTCCATAGTTAACTTTTTCAAACCAGGATCCAGTCAAGGTTTATATGTTGCCTTTAATCATTTGATTGATAGGTCTTTGTAGTTCATTTTAATATAGAGCAGTTCTGGTTTTTTTTTTTTTTTTTTTCCCACTATGTTCCCTTTTTTTCCTCAGTTGGTTTTGGTCAATTCATACACTCATGTCACCATCACCCAGATCAAGATTTAGAACACTTCCATCACCCCTCGCAATTCCCTTGTTCCCCTTTCAGGTCCATTCCAGACAGAATTGCTTTCCAGAGAGAAATAAGTATATGAGGTGATGGAAATGTTAATTAGCTTGAATTAATCATTTCACAGTGTGGATACATGTAGCAAAACATCACTTTGTACAGTGTAAATGTATGTAAATTTTGACAAAAAAGAATGGATAAATATGTTGTAGTATACACATACAATAGAATACTACTCCACAATTCAAAGGAACTACTGATAGGACCAACAACATGGATGAATCTCAAGAACATGCTGAGCAAAACAAGTCAGATACTAAATATCACACACTATGTGGCTCCAATGTGAAGTTTAAGTACTGGCAAACTAATCTATAGTGATCGAAATCAGAATAGTGTACACACACACACCCTCACACACACCCCTACCACATTTTCTTCATTCATTCATTCACTGATGAACATTTAGGTTGCTTCCATATCATGAGTATGGTGAATAATGCTGCAATGAATATGAGAGTGTGGATCTCTTCCGTATACTGATTTCCTCTGGATACATACCCAGAAGTGAGATTGCTGGATTATATGGTAGTTTAATTATTTGAGGAAATTTTTCTTTTTTAAAATTATTTGAGGAAATATACTTTTTATTATGGCTCTTCTAATTTACATTTCTACCAATGGTGTACAAGGGTTCCCCTTTCTCCACATTCTTTCCAACGCTTAACAATTTTTTGGCTTTATTATAGTAGTCGTTCTAACATGTGCGAGGGGATATCTTATAGTTTTGATTTGCATTTCCCTGATGGTTAGAGATGGTGAGCAACTTTTCATACACTTGTTGTCCGTTTGAGATACCTAGTCAGACCTCTTGCCCATTTTTAAAATTAGGTTTTTTGTTTTCTTGCTATTGAGTTGTTTGGGTCCTTACATATTTTGGATATTAACCTCTTATCAGATTTTCTCCCATTGTGTATGTTTTCTTTGCTGTTGGTTGTTTTCTTTGCTGTGCAGAAGCTTTTTAGTCTGATGCTATCCATTCTCTTGTTGATGGTGGTTTGGCTTATTTCCAGGTTATGGTTGTTATTGGATAATACTACTATGAATATTCATTCTTGTAAAAATCTTTTTGTGGCCATTACCTTTTGAAGATACTTGACTCAGATATAGAATAGTTCATGTTGTATTATTGCCTGATTTTTTCTTCTTTTTGTGGTGACATTCAGTGTTCTCCCAATTTTTATAAACTGGAAACTAGGTGTTATCTCTAATTACCTGTTGAAAGTGTGCAATCTTACTCTTCTCTACCCCTTCCATGCTTATTTTTTTGCTGAAATTTTGTGTTAGTGGTAATCTCATCTGTGTTATACTTAAGTAATATGAAAGTAAAAACATAGAAAGGTTTGGATGTATAACACAACATTTTATGTTGCCCAACAGAGCCATATGACACGAGAGAAAATATATTGCTAAGAGGAAAGTGTGACTTTTCTCAATGAATCTTTGGAGAATGATATGGTATGCTAAGTAACTTTTTTTAAAGAGCATCAAAAGAATTATATTTTCTATCACTTATACTTTAAATCTTTAAAACATTTTATCTTTGATGGGAAGAAGTATTATTGCTGCTTTATCTCTTCTTTTTATATTGAATATTTCAATTTATATGAGCTTATTTGGGAAAATA